TCTTAGTTCTGTAGTATAGGCTAGTTAGTCTTAGTTCTGTAGTATAGGCTAGTTAGTCTTAGTTCTGTAGTATAGGCTAGTTAAACTTACTTCTGTAGTATAGGCTAGTTAGTCTTACTTCTGTAGTGCAGGCTAGTTAAACTTACTTCTGTAGTATAGGCTAGTTAAACTTATGTAGTATAGGCTAGTTAGTCTTAGTTCTGTAGTGTAGGCTAGTTAGTCTTACTTCTGTAGTATAGGCTAGTTAAACTTAATTCTGTAGTATAGGCTAGTTAGTCTTACTTCTGTAGTGTAGGCTAGTTAGTCTTACTTCTGTAGTATAGGCTAGTTAAACTTAATTCTGTAGTATAGGCTAGTTAGTCTTAGTTCTGTAGTATAGGCTAGTTAGTCTTAGTTCTGTAGTATAGGCTAGTTAGTCTTACTTCTGTAGTGTAGGCTAGTTAGTCTTAGTTCTGTAATGTAGGCTCGTTAATTCTACTTCTGTAGTGTAGGCTAGCTAGTTTTACTTCTGTAGTATAGGCTAGTTAATCTTACTTCTGTAGTGCAGGCTAGTTAATTTTAATTCTGTAGTGTAGGTTAGTTAGTCTTACTTCTCTAGTGTAGGCTAGTTAGTCTTAGTTCTGTAATGTAGGCTCGTTAATTCTACTTCTGTAGTGTAGGCTAGCTAGTTTTACTTCTGTAGTATAGGCTAGTTAATCTTACTTCTGTAGTGCAGGCTAGTTAATCTTAATTCTGTAGTGTAGGTTAGTTAGTCTTACTTCTGTAGTGTAGGTTAGTTAATCTTACTTCTGTAGTGCAGGCTAGTTAGTCTTAATTCTGTAGTGTAGGTTAGTTAGTCTTACTTCTGTAGTATAGGCTAGCTTGTCGTTAGAGCAGCAAAGATTTGTTAATTTTGGAAATGTAGCCTGTTAGGAACTGAATGTAAGTGATTTTTAGGAAGTGTTAAACTACTTGCAGAGCACATGTGACGCTTCGTTGACTTATTCAAATAACAAATGTGTACGTCTATAGCGGTGGTTTTTAACATTCTGATTTGAAACAACCGTAGTATTACTGTATTGTTATCTATTTTCGTTTAAGGTAACACTTTACATTAACAGTCTGATATTCAAAATAGGCAAAACAAGAACTAGGTCTCAGGTTGTAACTGTCTCTAATTACTAGGTAAAACGATCAATATGTTATTTTCAGTTTATTTATATAACCAGTTTTTGTTATATAGAATGTAACAAAAGAAAAATGAAACTATGAGTAAATATTGTCTTTCCATTGCATGATGTACTCTTTTCCACATTTAGTTTATTTGAATTGTTTAATAAAGTGAGAAATATGTCTATGGTCCCTTATTGTGGAGACAAGTCCATGGCAAAAATTAGAATAAAAAAATATCTAAAATGTGGTGTCTGTTGTTTATAGTGTTTGTACCTAACATTTGTTGAACTGTAACTAATGTATTGCATCTGTTATCTTGTAAATAATAGACTTTTCCAGAATGACGTCATGACATCACGCGATCTTGTGTTTGCCATATTAGACAGAGTGTGCAGTGGAGAGAGAGAGAAGAAAAAAAAACAACAACTTGAAAATGCCTTTCCACTGTATTTCTTTGTACAGATTCCCAGCTGACCCAAAAAGAAAGTCAATATGGGTTACTGCAGTTATGAGACAAAGTTGGCAACGTTCCTGTGTCTGCGTATTTTGTGAAATGTATCACAATAGATCTGTAACATTTGTATACAATTAAAACTTTTGTTATTAAATGTGTGTATAAGTATCATACTATTTATTAATATTTGATAAGCGCCCCATATCATTTCTAGGGGCACTAACGAGTAATTCATGTACTTAAAATCATATAAGTGCTTTCGAGGGATTAGGCCAGGGTCAGTCAGACACCGTTGTGTCGTAGACCAAGACATACAGGTAACGTCATACTGAATAAATACTGGAGATAAACATGCTATGGGAGAAAAAAAAAGGAAGGAAATAAAAAATAAATAACAATAATAATTTCACCTTAGCATTTGCGGAGACACGAGATACAGTCTATCACGTCTAATACTCATCCTGTTAAGAATCCAAGTTTTCATGCTTTCGTGGGTTAAAGTACTGGTAGACTCAACAAGATACACATGGATACCACAGTAACTGGGAGCTGATCATGTTGTGACATGGCATGATGACCAGACAAGTCGCCGGCACAAGAAGAACAATATCATGACCAGATAAGTCGCCGGCATAAGAAGAACAATATCATGACCAGACAAGTCGCCGGCACATGAGGAACAATATCATGACCAGACAAGTCCCCGGTACATGAAGAACAATATCATGACCAGTCAAGTCGCCGGTACATGATATTGTTCTTCGTGTGGCAGCGACTTGACTGGTCATGATATTGTTCTTCTTGTGCCGGCGACTTGACTGGTCATGATATTGTTCTTCATGACCAGTCAAGTATTTGTCGCTCTGCATGTCTATTTATCTTAGATTCATCTTTTATTTAAAAGTATTTACATTTACGTTTTCTCTGGATAAGAACCTGTAGTATAAAATGAACGGGCCACCAGTGCGCCATTTCAACAAAATCTTAGGGGGGGGGGGCACCTTTGAACCTTAATTTCTAAAGAACACACGAACTGTTGATGACGTAGCACGTTTCGTAATTCATTAATGAGATATTTTATATTTCTCAAAATAATAAAAACAAAGGCTTGGGTGGGGCGGCACGATAACATGAGTGTTGGACATGACGTCATAAATAAAACTCGTTTTGTAGTTTTGTTTTAAGACATTATAAATAAAAAAAAGGATTATTTATTAATTACATAAAATAGGACAGCTAGTGAGATTGAAAAGTGACAATGCGCATGCGTAGGTACTTGAAATATGAAAGGTTAATAATTATTGATTAGTTCGCTTATTGTCTATGTAATAACGTATGGAAATTAGCATCTCAACTCACGATTTATCGGTCAATTTTCCGAAAACCCATGCCCAATAGGGGAAGGGGATACTGTTTTAATATGTTTCAGTAAATTCTTATAGATCTTATGCATTTTAGTTTTGTCTGTTCAAAAATATTTTAGGGCCATTTATGATCAAAATATATTTATGCTTTGTCTTGTTCTACGACGAATACGTCCGGTCGGATTATGACTACATTGGGTTCATTAGCAAATTGGCTTTTTACACATTAAATAACCTTTTACTAACTACAATGTTTTTTTTTAAACAGTTTCCTAACTGAAAAACAAAACTTATAAGGTAATTAAAAAAACAAACAATCAATTATGGGCTCGTAGAGAGCCGAATTTTGGTTAATCCCTGTCGATCCCTCTCGCGACTGACAGACAGTTTGGGAACCACCGATTCTAGGCCTTCAGACGAGAGCGACACCTCGTTTTCTCTCTGGTTAAGGGTTAGAAAAATCGGTGTCTCGTGTCGTAGCTCTAAAAAACTCGGTTCAAGAATTTTCAACGTTGACCTAACATGAGAACGTGCTGAACGGAGCTCAAATCAAGGTCGTTCTGCACGAACCAGGGGCCGCTGCTTTTCTCGGCAGCGAACTGTTTCGAGAGGAGGTATTTGTTTTATGAATGAAATATAAAGGCGTTGCTAGGCTGACAAGTTAAGTAACTCTATACTTTCTTAGGCGTTGGCTTACCAAATATGGCATTAATGCGAGTACGATCTTGTAATAAAGTTAATGTTCCGATCTCTTCGACACACAGTTGTCAGAAAACAGTTATATAAAGAATCATTTACTTGGTTTTCCTGGTGGCACTTAAAAATGTAGTAACAGTCATACCTGTCAGAAGTGATGGACACTACTATTGTGTAAGTCATACCTGTCAGAAGTGATGGACACAACTATTGTGTAACAGTCATACCCGTCAGAAGTGATGGACACTACTATTGTGTAACAATCATACCTGTCAGAAGTGATGGACACTACTGTTGTGTAACAGTCATACCTGTCAGAAGTGATGGACACTACTGTTGTGTAACAGTCATACCTGTCAGAAGTGATGGACACAACTATTGTGTAACAATCATACCTGTCAGAAGTGATGGACACTACTGTCGTGTAACAATCATACCTGTCAGAAGTGATGGACAATACTGTTGTGTAACAGTCATACCCGTCAGAAGTGATGGACACAATTATTGGGTAACAATCATACCTGTCAGAAGTGATGGACACAATTATTGTGTAACAGTCATACCTGTCAGAAGTGATGGACACTACTGTTGTGTAACAATCATACCTGTCAGAAGTGATGGACACAACTACTGTGTAACAGTCCTACCCATCAGAAGTGATGGACACAATTATTGTGTAACAGTCATACCTGTCAGAAGTGAAGGACACAATTATTGTGTAACAGTCATACCTGTCAGAAGTGATGGACACAACTATTGTGTAACAATCATACCTGTCACAAGTGATGGACACTACTGTTGTGTGACAATCATACCTGTCAGAAGTGATGGACACAACTATTGTGTAACAGTCATACCTATCAGAAGTGATGGACACAATTATTGTGTAACAATCATACCTGTCAGAAGTGATGGACACTACTGTTGTGTAACAATCATACCTGTCAGAAGTGATGGTCACTATTTTTGTTTATGCAGAGAGCTACGCAATGGGCTGTCTGTGTTTTGCCCACCACAGGTATCGAAAACCTAGTTTTAGCGTTAAACGCCCTCAAACTTATCACTGAGCCATTTGGGGGTGGGACATTGTTGTGTTAAACAGTATGATGTTGCGTTGCACATAATAATAGCTGTATCTGTTTAAGAAATCGTACTAGGTGTTGTTGTACATGACTGTTGCCTAAGATAACCACTCTGCATATCGATTCCAAAGCGTTGGAAAACTACTAGGAACACGTACTGAAACAAACATACAACAAAAAAACTGATACTGTATCTAAAGGAATATGCATCAAAAATACATACCGTTGAACAGGGTGGGTGTAATTATTGCTTATGACCAGCATTGTGTATGTTAAGAAAATAAATGTTCTTGGACTTACCACAAAGTGAACGGGATAATTAACAGAATTACCGTTTTTAATGATTACAAGAAAAAATATATCCTGGTTGTAAAAGAACACTGTCTTCTGTATTAAACCAATTTAGACTCACCGAGCCCCACGAAAGGGGGGGGGGGGAGAAAAACTATAAAAATCGAGAAAGCCTTATATATCTGTTCACGTACACCCAATCCGGCGCAGAGCAAAAAGTTCATGAGAAAGTCCTCAGGGCAGAGATTTATCAGAGGCAACGTAACGAGACGCCTAGCTTCGTGAAAAGTAATCACCTACTCTCGTGCCCAGCGTGTTTCAATGGTGGGGTTGCACGTGCTCCCGTTGCCTGGTTACGGTAGAGTCGTGGTAAAAGCTGAAAATTTCAAGTTCAACATGTTCGTTTGCATGTGTTAACGGGTGAAGTTATTTCCTTCAAACGCTTTGATACGATTGTACACACCAGAACACAAATAAAAGCACTGCGTTAGTGTCGCCATACCAATCTTCACGAGGTGTGGTCAGCTTGTAAAAAAAAACATGTCTGCTGACCATGATTTTTAATTGAATGAAGTGGCAAGGATCAGGGCTAATACAAGTCATTTTCAGACGGACACTGTACCTTTTGTTTTCTCATGAGTTTTATAGTTTCACAAATTCGAATATTCCAGACCTAAGTATCATTTATTAACGATATTTTTGGTTTATAGTTAAGCACAAAGTTACACAATGGGCTAACTGTGCTCTACTCACCACAGGTATTGAAACCCGATTTTTAGCCTTATATGTCTGCAGACATACCGCTGAGGGCACCTTTTATTGGCAAATTGTTTCATCTCTTTAAATATAAAGCTACACTGTGGGCTAAGTGCGCTATGCCAACTGCAGGAATAAACCTCCGAATTTTTGCATCGTAAGCCCTCGAACTTGACGCTGAGCCAGCGAAGGCAGGGGCTAAAAATTCTATCACGTTTGGGAATGAGAACATAACCCGAAACTTAATAACCAGATATATGTGTTGATATTTAAACAACGCGTAATTTTCTTCACTGTTTACTTTCTTACATTAAACAACGGTGAACCTACACCAGGCCATTCTGGCTTCTCATCATTAATCTTACACACGTTTATATACAGAATTCAGTAGACGTTGAAATTAGATTTACCTTTGTCGTCAAGAGTTATCATTAGCATAGAAAATCTTAATACAGCCGAATTTCCTCAGTCTGAATCTGTATAAATAAGTTAATTATTACAGCCAACAGTGGAGTCATGTGGGGGGGGGGGGGAAGGTTTGTTCTGGAATTCACGCAAAGATACACGAGGGCCGAATTTAGCATTGTAAGACTAGAGGGTAAGCAACTAGTCATCACCACCCACCGCCAACTCTTTTACCAACGAACAGTGGGATTGACCGCACATAATAACACCTCCACGGCTAAAGGGGCGAGCATGTTTGGTGGGATGGGGATTCGAACCCGCGGATTGCGAGTCGAGTGCCGTAACCATCTGGCCATGCCGGGCCCCGGAAAATAAGGAAAACATATTTAGGGGATAAGCTTTTACGGTGCAAGTCAACGGACTAAAAGAATGTGTGCTTAAAAACAAACACAAATTAACAGTTTTAATAAAAAATGCTAAAACTACTTAGTTTAACTATGATGTTAAGTTTACATCATAGTACGCGCAATTTTTTGTGAAATTTAAGGGGGGAGCCACGAGTGTGGTTAAACTATAACGAAAAAATTAGAATATTGCCATTTACGCTACGCTACATCAGATCATCTATGTTTTCATGTCCGAGCTAAGAAAATCCCATTGATACAAAACGGAAGTTCACCATAAGAAATATAACACGTGTACAGTCGTGGACCATGGCGACATCTGTTGGTAGAGACACAATGTTGTCATAGCAGACAAAATTAGTTACCTTATCGAAAAAAATGCCAATCATCGTAGCTGTTATAGCCAACCTGAAAGCAGGCCAACGGTCATCCATTTCCGTAGGTAGTCAGGACACAGGAAGTTAAAAATCTATAATAAATAAAAACTAAAGCTATTAGTGGTAAGTCGTACAAAGTATTCAATTAACCATCATTAGTGACGTCAATGTAACATAAGTTCAGACAGAGCAGTAACCAGAATCTCGGAGAATCGGTACAGGAATCATTATCCAATTTGAACTGCTGATGAGGACAAGAGTATCAGATGAATAGCGTATTTAAATTCATGGATATGGCGGTTGTAATTCGCTCCCACTAGTCAGGTGTTTAAACTCTTGAACACCTGGTGTCGGACTTAATAGTTACCTTAGTTTAAAGGATTGTTTCGCGATGTTCTAACAACAGAAATGAGTATATCATTGCAACCAAATTGTTCGTTTGACATCAATAGACCACGATAGGTACTTTTTAACATTCTCGGACCAGATATTTGGTATGTTAGTTCCATACTTGATTGATAACCAGTATACAGAATTAACTTCATACTTCATTACAATGACACCCCCCGATGAGGGTTATTCCTTCAACTAAACGTGCAATCCTACCGATACTAGTGTTGAAAACTTGGAAAGATTAAACCAAAACAGATAGGTTTTTTTTTGCTCGTATCGGAGGACCTGGTGGGCAAGACGACCATTAACTGATGAAACATGTCTAGCATCTACCACTGTTTAACACATTACGACTGTATTAAAATCGTGTAGCATTTCTTCCAGTAAGTAGCTTTTACAACAACCTCTATTTAATACAAACAAGTGACGTGATTACGCTATATGTTTCATGTACAAATCAAATAATAAAAATAGTGAACAAGAAAACTTTCCTGACAGAAAAACGACACCTGTTATATCTCGTGAAACACTCGTTCGAAACTAACAATTCCTTCAATTAAACACAAGTAACAAATGTCAGTTGATTTGTTAATTTTTTTCTGTCTAAAGGATGCAGCAATAGAAATGGACTTTGGAATGTTTTTGCACAAACACAACTATGTATATCCACATGGACACAGAACAACGAAACATTGTAGGCTTAAGCATAAAGATTCATTCTATTGGTCGTTTACACTTGAATACTGTCAATGATAATTTTACCAGGAACTAACGTTCTAACAACGGCTAACAGAAACGGCACAGATAAATTCTTGGTAATACTTCAAACAACACAACCCAATAGTGTTGAAATACTAATGACATTCTGAGAGTTAGCATCTATCTCTAAATTCCAATAATAAGCCATCTAGACACTGCGTATGGCTATAAAAGAAACCGTGTGATTGTTACGTAATGATGTAACACTCGTGGTTGATAATGATTTTACTAACTGCTACGAACTTAGTGACTTTATTGGGCTAAACTTAAGTTATTTGTCAACTGTTTGTTTACAAAGAATGTTACACGAGCAGCATCATAATTATAAACGCCAAGTGTCTGTCGTCGGTCACGCTTAATTTCTCCCAATTTTGTGAGTTACATTAGTCCAGTTCCACTTTTTGTCCTATGTTCATTGCCCGTTCCCATTTTAGTTGAATTTAATCTCTAACATACGCGTAAATAGCTCCTAAATGTCGCCACTTTTTCTGCTATATAAAAATCTGTCAAGGAAGGAGTTTCTATACCAAGGATTTATTTAGAACCGAGTTAAATTAATTTGTTGTTTGTTATGATGAGAAGTTTGTGAACGATGATCGAATATGGTTTTAAGAGAACTATTGCAATGATTAGAAAATAACCGTGATCAATGAATGCTGGGAAGAGACACTCTTTACGTAAAGTAGATATTGTTCTTGATAGGCTTTGGTTTCCCGAAGCTAGAAAACCCTTTGTCTTATGTCTGTTTATGGGTGGCAAAGTTACAAATGTATACTGAAGGATTCAAATATGGTAGGCCTTGATTTCCTGTCATTTTTGACGGACTTTTACACTAGTTGTTTAATGCAGGGGCAAACTGACTGATGAAGTTCGAATGTAACGACATCATATTTAAATAATCTTCTTATCAACTATTTTATTCACGCACAATGTCCCAAAACATGAAAATGGCTCACACACGTGCCTGGCATTTAGAATGCTTAAAGCCTACTAACACGTTTTACTTGTTAAATATAATTATTGAATACCACCAATTCACTGTTCGCTTTTTACAGATTTTTCCGAGAATATTACTAGGAGGGATTACTGAGAAAATGAAACTATGTACGTTCGGTTAGCAACACAACAATCACACACTCCCCAGTGGGAGCTCAGTGACAAGTCTGAGGGCTTATAACGCTAAAAATGTAGTTTTATTACGTACGATGGGCAGAACACAGGTAACCCGTTTAGTTTATAAACGTGAACGTAAAGATGGCTTGAAATAAACTATCAGCACAATACGGGAATAAACCCCAATATCTAACTAGCCCATGCTTCAGTAATATGAATACCTTTACGATTTTAAAGCAGCTTTTTTATGACATTTACCAAATAATACGTCCAAGGAGGATTTCCCATGGTAACCCCTCTTCAACATCCATCAAACTGTACGTTTAACAAGAGTTATACTACCGAATGTATGAATACTTGTGTAAATGTAAAGGCTTGTTAATGATTATAATATAAAGTAACTGGATTATTCAGGTGATGTAGTTTATCAACATCAAACGACTACAGTATGAAATAAGCAACTTTTAATTTCATATTTGAAGCTGATCTCTGTACATGCTAATAATGTAAAAGTGTACGTCTACCTCGCGATCGAATCTACAATGATTTCCAAAGTCAGGTTCGCGCTGTTTGTTCTTTGGAAATGTTCACTTGTCAAACACACTAAATTTATACACACGCACATACACTATCGATACATCTCCCGAACAAGAGTTAATATTCTACACTACACGTTTCAAAGAGGTCCCTGTCCAGAGAAATTTGACCCTGCTTGTGTCCACTTAAACACAGTCTAACATCAACGTAGTGCAACAGACCGGTTGACCACGGCCATGTGAACTGTCCATTGGCCTCTTGAGGGGTTACAATCATCTTGAGCAAAGTAAAAAGCTGATGTAGTCCCCCTTTTTAACCAGTCCCGCAAGTAATGACCACTCCTTTCTGCTGGACAAACTAAATATTATTACAGAGGGGGCTACTGTGGTGAGTTCTGTACATAAAATCCTAAAGATGTTGACGTCTTCGCTGGTTCTGCACTTTGTCCCTCTGACGGCGATTTCTGACTATGATTGACTCTAGGTGGGCCACGATGGCCCCTGGCAACTCCTGACCCCCGTCCTCGTACTGATCCTCGACCTAAAAAATAAAAAAAACAATCTATAACAACCGCGAGTAATTAAGACTACACTACAGTTAGATATTGTAAAATTAGCTAGATAATTTAATTCTAGTGCCAACTGTATAAACTGAATTTTGTCTCGAATACAACTACACAACAACTTTACACAAGTTTTTTAGTGGCCTCTACAATACTTTACGGATGAGCTAGTAAGGTCAATCCCCTTTACATATATTCTGATAGTACACAAGATTACTAGGTTAATAAAGATGTTGATACTTCATTGTTGCTATCACATTCTGAGGTCAAAACTGCTGTTACGACACTGTGAAACAGAAGCCAAAGCTGGTAACACGGTGAGTCGGAGGCTAAAACTGCTGCTATCACACTGTGAGTCAGAGACCAAAACCAAAACTGTTGTTACCACACTGTGAGTCAGAGGCCAAAACCAAAACCGTTGTTACCACACTGTGAGTCAGAGGCCAAAACCAAAACCGTTGTTACCACACTGAAACAGAAGCCAAATATGATAACACTAGGAGTCGGAGTCTAAAACTGCTGCTATCACACTTCGAGGCAGAGGCCAAAACTGTTGCTTGCCTACAGTGAAGCATAGGCCAAAACTGTTGCTACCACACTGTCAGACAAGAGGCCAAACCGTTGCTGTGAGATAGAAGCCAAAACTGCTACTAACACGGTCTACGGAGCAGATAAAGCTGTTAAATTAATAAATCCTTTCTCCACGTTACATATTCTACTTAGCCTCTCACGGTGGTACTACTGCTTTTTGTTCACTGTAACTAATAATAGTATATTAATGGCAGAGCCCGTCAATATCCAAGCCTTCCAATTAGGTGGGAGAAGTAAAGAATCTTTCACAGATTTGGTTAGAAACTGGGCTGTTCTAGTGTAATCCTTGAATGACAAGAAACGATCATTTGTCCAGTCTGAAGACGATTTGACAAGTCTTAACAAAGGAAAGGTCGTCCGCTATGCTCAGATTCAATACCTCACTCACGTTGGAAGTGAATTATGTGGATAAAAGAAATGACTACCTACGGACCTAATTACCTTTCTAACACGTCAAGCGTCCCACAGCGGTAGCACTTGGTAGACCACAGGCACCGACTCGGGATAATCCGGCTTCTTCCTGTTGCATACAAGTTAGTACCACACGCAGCGATTTTCAGATCGTTCCGAAGGTTGTACACTACTGACCTCACTCAACATTCCTTACGTCTGTTACGCCGCTCGAAACTATTATTTAACGGAAAACAGCAATCTGTTCACTAAACTGTAGTTGAGGTTCGAAATTCTGTGTTTTATCTGTCTTTAGAACCCATATCACGTTATTGAAGTTCAACACATTAATGGGATATTTATATAAATTTGCCTAAGAAACGTTAAACGTGTTAGTAAACTTGTTTTAGTTACTTAGCAGCCAAAGGAAAATAATGTGGTGACGTTTAAACACTAGTCATTCCTGGAGTTTTTAAACAACTTCGTGACACCGACATATCTATGTATGTATATTGCGACCCGTGGTGTCTGACCAAGCCTTCGTCTGTATCCGTTTACAGCGGCCGTTTGAAAAGCTGAGCACGCAGGCAAAGCTCAACATTCACTTTTGAAATGACGGTAGAACAGACATGAATAATACTGATGCAAAATTTTATTTCACAAGCACGATATTCTGCACTAAATTGTTAGGAATTAATCACACTATTATTCATATTTCAAAATATGACATAACTTAAATAATAAAAATGTAGATTTACTGTATGTTATTGTTGAGCGGCTCTTAGCATGACTGAAATGTTCAACAATTACTTTTCACGGTGGGCGGTATAAGTAGCTCAGAGCTTGGGCTGTGAGTGAAACCAAGAGTGAAATACAATTAACCTTTTTAAAGTCCATGAAACAACCTAAATAGGTTGATTAACTCAAACTTTCCAGTCACTGGGGGCGGGTATAATGCGTGTGTGTGTATGTATATATATATATATATATATATATATACACACACACACACAAGTATCACTGACAGCATAAGTATCAAAACCGTCTATGTCACCACTGCTCGTCACAAAATTCCTCTGACCTGACAGTCAGTATCGGCCAAGTCGCCAGTGCTCTTGTTACATTCCCCCGACCCGACAGTCAGTATCGGCCAAGTCGCCAGTGCTCTTGTTACATTCCCCCGACCCGACAGTCAGTATCGGCCAAGTCGCCAGTGCTCTTGTTACATTCCCCCGACCCGACAGTCAGTTGTCCAAGTTCCATAGGCTTGAGTAAATTAGATAAACAAATATAAAATTAACATCAAAACGCTACAAGCTACTGAGAGGTGCATTCAAATGTCCATCTTGTCTGATTGATATCAGGCTCTGTACATCAATGGATAAAATATTCCTCGAATATTAAAAACCAATTAAAAAATGTACCTTGAAAGGTGTATCAGTAAATTGAGTTGAGGTGTTCGTTTTAAGCCTAGCTGTCGTCTTCATTTTTTGTTTTTCTTTTTGGAATTAAAGACCGTATTCCAGATTTGATGTCATCAAGTGTAGTTTATAAATTTACATATAGAGTTTATTAACAGGATATTGTCAACTCCCATAAAAAAAAAACGCGAATTTCAGAGCTCCTACTAAGTCGAGTCTTGAACGTGTCCTTGGAGAATGTGACGTAGAAGTCAATTTTAATAACTTCAGGATCTTAGCAGGGGCCAATGATGAATAGAGCTTGCATATTAACTTAAAGAGTGCTTGTTGCTCATGCAGAGACCGAGGCCCGACATTCAATCACATAGGCTCGGCTTGTAAATTAAGTTTTCATCTGTTAAGTCACTCATTTATCCTGTAGAAAAAGAATTACCTTGTGACAGTTAATTCTTAAAAATCGTGGATGAGAAAATCTCATTAATACGTCTTAAAATTTTTGTTTATATTTGGAAGTCAATAATGTAATAGCGCCATCTATCTTCTAACAGAAAAACCACACAATATATAAACAAAAAGTAATTTACATGTATTATGAAAGTATTACTGGATTGTAACTTTTAAAATGAGGAAATTATTTAATTGTCTGTGTGTATCTAGCTTCTGACCTACACATCATTCTTCCCGTTTGGAATATCGTTAACATACGTCATAAACGGTTGTTTTATTTTTAAACTTCGCCATCAATGGTCCAAAATATTACTGGAAACTTGTTATAAGTTACTAGTTTTCAGTAACAAGTAGTAAAGTACTTATAGTCTGTTAATGGGGAATTATTTGTTCCGTCATTGAAGTAATAAGTTAACTATGATTCATTTCCTTGTTTACACTTTCTACGAAGTAAAACAAAACTTCAAACGCCACCACAGATTATCAAACATTTTTTATCAAGCTTAATTTGTTTGCATTGAAGTGGAAAAACGGTATGTCGTTGCCGGAATGTGAATATCCTGTTTGTTACTACAAACTTGTTCTCACAGCTACATCTTATCATCATTTCTATCTGCCGTAATTATAATATTAACTGTGACGAAGCACACCTGAAAAATAGACCTCGTGACTGAATACGTGCAAACTATGGTAAAAAAAAGCTCAGTTTAAAGAAATGTGGTAGCGGTAGTTTGAGTTGTTTCGTTTTTCTTTCCTCTGCTTTATAATCAAACCATGACTAACGTTTTATAACACAACCATGCCAATACATGTTAACTAGTATCCATTATCAATAAAATACAACGTTTAATATGGTTGTCTCTCTATCAAGCTAGCTGGACTGTTAAGTGAGAATGCTTATAACACTCTATTTCCACGCATATTAATAAACATAACGTGTGGGTTATAATCATCATCTTAAGCGGGGCCAATTAGTTGGGGGGGCATTTGACACGGGCCTCAAATTTAAATACTTGTTTTTTTTGCATTTGTTAAATTTCGCAACTTGTGAAATGTGTTAATAGACATATGTTAAATAAAAAAATATTCAACTGAGGTTTCACTTTTCTTGTAGGCTAATAATTGTCTTATTTTGTTTTCACGTTTTTTTTTATTATAGCTAGGGGCCTCAAAAGATAAAAGTGGACAAGGCCTCTCTGACCCTCTAAAAGGGGCCTTGTAAGGTTTTGTATTTTAATAAGCTGTTGTGAGTTTTGAAGCATTCTTTACAGAATACTGTAACATGGACATCCTGCCAAGAACAGTTTTCCTAAATGTAACTGTGCTCATGTAATTTAAAACTACAGAACACTCCAAGTGTCACAATGTCCAGTAAAACTGGAACTTACAACTTACCACTCTACTAACCCAACAATTTATCTGTATCTTAATCCATTCATCCATAAATAAAACTAAATAACTCTGTGTAGTTCCAATAAACTCTGCTACTTCACAAATACTCAAGATAGGTAAGGATAAAAAATGCTATATAAACCACTGAATAAAACACTAGTCTGAAGTTTTCACTTTAGTATACTTCATGAACATTTAACACCATTGTAGGTCATTTCATGAACATTTAACACCCTAGTAGGACACTTCATGAAGATATAACATCTTAGTGACACTTCATGAAGATATAACAACTTAATATGACATTTCATGAAAATATAACAACTTAATATGACATTTCATGAAGATTTAACATCTTAGTGACACTTCATGAAGATTTAACAACTTAATATGACATTTCATGAAGATTTAACAACTTAATATGACACTTCATGAACATTTAACATCTTAGTGACACTTCATGAACATTTAACATCTTAGTGACACTTCATGAAGATTTAACAACTTAATATGACACTTCATGAACATTTAACACATTAAAATATTTCACGAACAAGAAAAACTTAAAAGAAAAATATACAAGTGAGTTCCTAAGCTGTTAAATGTTCACAAAGACTGGCCAACTTACCTGGAATGAATTTAGAACTGTTATATAAAAAACTTAATATTTTCTGTTAAACAAGTAATTTTGTTTATACAGACATGAACTCCAATAAAATTAGCTGGGACAACTTTAATAACAATTAACTTATGAAACAACTAACCTATTCCAGCACTACTTCCAGATAAACCATAACTATACACAGCGTACGGTGTTTAATAACAATTAACTTATGAAACAACTAACCTATTCCAGCACTACTTCCAGATAAACCATAACTATACACAGCGTACGTTGTTTAATAACAATTAACTTATGAAACAACTAACCTATTCCAGCACTACTTCCAGATAAACCATAACTA